GGTGTTGAAACTCACAGAAGTGTTGCAATGAGACAAAATTCTCTTTCCATAACTTCTTTTGAGAAAAAAAAAAAAGTCAACATACACACTTTTGAGGAAATAAAATTCCTCTTCTCCCCGAACCCCCACAAAAAGCATCACTTCTGGACAAGAAGAGTTTTTGATCTGAGTTTGCAGTTGTCACTGTGGGATTTTCCTTTTAGCAAAATTCTGGGTGGGATCTTCTAGGAATTTGAGACATTCATGGAACAAGTTTTAAACTCCTTCACCCAAAAGAGTGAAAAACTTCTGATAGATATGTAATAGATAGATGATAGAAGTTTGAGTTAATCTTACAGCAGAAGAATGAGCAGAAAAAGCTGAATACTGTGTATGAAAGTGCTCCCACTTTGGTGAAAGGACAGCTTTTATAGAAAGAAATTAATCTGAATTTATGGACCTTCAAAATGATGCACATCCATATTCTGTGTCCGTAGCTCTGCTACATTTCATACCGCACACTCTGACTATTTCAGAAAAATCCTTTTTGGATGCTTTTTATCTACATTTAGGATGCCATATTCATTCCAGCCATGTAACAGCCACACACTCTCATTTAGCTCCCTCTCCTTTGCCTTTTATTCCTTGTCCCTCCAAGAGCAAGAACATCTAAGAGCAGCTGGACTGAAGTGTCAGACACTAAAGAGACAGCTGGAAAGGAGTGCTCAAAAATTACTCTTTGTATTTTAGGTAATTAAATGAAAGGGCTAAATTGAGCCTTTGAAATATAAGAGAAAAAAAGAGCTTCATGAGTCTTGATGATAACTTTTTAGTAGCTTACATCTTTTCCTGTCAATATAGTTTTTGAAGTCTCATTTCAAGGTTTTTGTAGCAAAGCTGACTGTAATTATAAACTTGTGAGATAGGAAATAATCTTTTCTGATTTCTGGAGAGGAAGGCCGCTTAGAAAAGGTGGAGATTCACATTTCTATTCACAGAGCTCTGGCGTAGCCTGTCAAAAATCTGAAGTGAACTGGAGGTACAACTGAAGAACAGATTCTTCCTCAATGCGCCTATATATATTTACCTATTTATCTATTTATATATTTAAAACAAGAATGCACAGAAGGATTGATATATAACATATTTTCTTGTTATATGTCCAGCAGTATCCTATTTTTTTAAATTTATTCTTAATTATCTTAATTTCTTGAATTCTTGCTCTTATGCCCAGTATCTTAAATATCTTCCTAAATAATTATTTTTCACTATGCAGTTGCTGGTACTTAACATATAGTGGACGAAAATACCTAATTTTTTCATCAGATTTTTTACCTTCTATTTTACCTCCTGCTTCTTAGGATTATAAAGTTTATTTGAGGAGTAAACTCCAGCTTGCTTTCCTTTTTGAAGGAGTAGTAAAATTGGTTATTTTAGCTGAGTAGCTGCCTGTCTTCTAACACTTGGACTGTGAAAAGTAGCTTGAGGATAAACTCACCATTTAAGTACAGTAACATTATATAAAATATTAAATACCATAATACAGAATGACTTATTTAATAATAACTTGTAACAATGAGAGTAATTCTTCACTCAACAGTTTCCTCTCAGTTATTGCCTTAGAAATAACTCAGAGTCTAAAAAGGACACTACTTTTAGGGAATATATTAATTTCAGTCTATCAATATGTTAATTATCTATTAATATATTTTAATTATAATATATTTTATATTAATATAAGTATTAAGATATTATTGTAGTCTATTATAATATTAATATATTATCTATTAATATATTTATTTTCATTAATTTCAAGGATTTGGTTTATCCAGATGCCATCCATATCTGTGCCTTGGAATGGGCCCTGCAGTGACTGCTCAGTTCTTTGTGCCTTCTCTCCCTTCATATTTCATTGTTTTTGCCACTGTGGTGGAGTAAAATCAGTCTCATGGCAGGGAATTTCCTCAGAGTAAGGAAAACGCACCCGTAACAAAAGTAGATCCCCATGATCAAAAAAATCCCCAACACAGAAAGTGATGTTTATTTAATTAGTATTAATTAGTATTAATTAATGTAGAAGGAAATCACCCAGGTTTGGGAAGGATGCTGTTAATGCCCATCTTTCTACCCTTACTGCATATAAACCTTTCTATATTGTACAAACCCTGACACTTCTCTCCTGACTGAATAAACACAAACATATCAACTAATAAACTAAATATGTGCTGTGTTTTACCCAGTTAAAATGATCTCCTACTGATTTACAAATGGCTGGGAGAGGTTCATTACTATTCAGGAGAGAAGGAGTAAATATATTCTTAACACATTTCAGGTGAGTGCCCAAAGGCTGGGCATTGTCCTATACCTCAAATTCCAGTTCAGTCACCTGAGACAACCTCCAGCTGCAAAGTGAGGGCAGAAAATGACATTTTATCAAAGTTGAGTCCACAGAGAAGCTACATCCTCCTCCTGAAATATTAAAGTCCGTATTTTTAGTGCAGAACGAATCCGAGGCATTCGGAATTACTGGCACTGAAACGTGAAATCCGTGCTTATGTATTCCATAGATGCAAATTCCTCATAAGGAAGCAATAACAGCTAAAATGACATTATTACTGAACAACCAGAGGCTGTTCTCACTCACACAGAGAGGCCAAGCCAGCCCTGGAATGCTCAAAACCATGTCCTGAAAAGAAGTGCAGAGTCGGAGGAATCCTGAGCCCCCTGAGCCACCAGAGAGGAGAGGGAGATGCCCAGGAATGCTGCAGCAGGAAGTGCTTGTGGTTAAAAACAGGAGCAACCACATGAATCCGAGGTTTAAGGAGACAGCCAGACGACACTGATGGCAAAAAAATATCAATGCACAGAAAATAAAAATAAAAAGGAACCCAAGAAGAATTAAAAGGTGCCAAAAGATCTCTGTGCGTTTGGTTTCTGGAGAATAAAAGGGTAGAACCCAAATAGCTCAAAGTTTAGACAATTAAGCTTTCTTACTGTTAAAAAAATTCTCAATTTGTCCTCCTTTGCCATCTGGAAGTTTTCTCTTAAACAAACAAATGAAACACACACAAAACAAAAATACTTCTCATTTTCATCTACACACCCACTAAAAAAAAGAGATCTCTGCATGACAAACCCCAGGACGTTTCACTTTCAGCCTTGCACAACTCCATGGAGATCTCTGGAGCTATCAGGCATTATCTGTAACCTTCCCCTCATGTGCTAACAAGTAGAATTTCATAAAAATATAGAAATGCACAATGTTTCAACATTGAACACGTGGGGAAAGCAGTTTTAATTATCCCACACTGAGTAGGCAGGAAAGATTTCCTGCACATAAAGCATGTTATGGTACTGGGAAAATTTTTTTTTTTTTTTTGCCCTTTCCTTCAGAACTGAACAGACTCTTTAATGAGAAATCCTTTTTTTTTTTTTTTT